TTAAAAGCTTTTTTTGTAGAGTCATTGAGTAATATCACAAGAATAGATGACTCGGGACACATCCTTGCTGACGTGAGATTATTTTCAATGTAAATAAAATAATATATTTTATGACAGATGTTCTTTGTGAGTTAAGATTAATTAAAAATTTATCATCCTCAATAAACTGCTATATAGGGTGGATGAAATTTGTTTTAAACTTTAGATGATTAAATTTACTTGAGTATTTTGATTTATTAATTTGAAACTTTGATGTGAAATTTGATCTAAAATTGACCCTTTTGATTGACAATTTCAGTTAACGTGAACAACATTATGGTTCAATATTTGAAAATATTAGTGTTTTATAATGAATTCTTATTATTAAAAATTATTAACTACACTAGACTAATCAGTCTTAATGAAGAGAAGAATCATACAAGTTGATTTGACTTTATAAATAATATAATTTAGTTGAGATCATTCTTAACTTAATCATTTTTAGTTTAATTTTAAAATAGAGAGTATGTAATTTTCAAAATAATTATAAAAAATTACAATATGAGATTTGTATGCATCTTGAAGCAATTCTCAGACCATGTGCTTGAATGTTCTGGATAGGTATGAGAACACGTCGGCTTTAAATTTCATTAATTTTAGCAATTTAAAATAACTGAATTTTTATATATTTTTTTATCTATTTTTTATCCAAATTATTTATTAGTTTTAATTTAATTTGATCTAGTTACAATAATCGCAATAATAATTAATGAGCACGTGCACGTGCACACACACGTGTTCGTGTATAATTCATGAGTCAATATGCACACAGATTCACATAAGAAGCCATGCAACATGGATGCCTTTTTCAAACATTTTTGACATTTCAAATGAGTTGGCACCAACCATTTTTATGAATGAAGACTATTGGGGTGACAATGATCGAGTTGAGTAGAGTCATATTTATGCAATGTCATATTGAAAACCTTAGTCTTCATCAAGTGATCTATCGTGGGCATTTTTTATGCTCCAAATGTGACTGTGATTCTTTTTGTGAACGGGGGATACTTGATTGGCTTCGACAGTAATAAAAAAAAAGATTAAATTCAATTTATGTATTATTGCATTCGTCGGCTTTTGTCCTTAATGTGTCTACTCGATCTGACTACCTAAACACCAATGAATGTCAGCAATTGTTGAAATATCTAATTTAAATTACAAGATTTATTATTTTTCCTGTTAACACTTATAATAAGAAATAATTTATTTCTAGTTATGAGAAATAAATTCTTTCCTTAATATAAGGAAATATTTTCTTTTCATATATTAAGAATTATTTGTTTTTCTAATTCTAATTTATATTATTTCCTATCTAATAATTAATATGAATTAATTATTAGAGATATCATGTGATATATCTTACCTTTCATATCATTTTTTTTTATTATTTTTCTTATTATAGGATTCTTGTAATGGTTATTTATACCCTCGTTCATATCAATGAATGTATTCCGCTTTATTCCATATTATTCATAATTTCAACATGGTATCAGAGCCTAGTTTCGTACTCTAGCCGCCGACCCTCCTGTGAGAATTGTCGGACCTCCCTTCTGCCATCCTCTGTGCAGGAAGGGAGGGGATTAAAGAATTTTTCTCGATCAAGAGAGGCGATTGTGGGGGAAAGTGGGATTCCGATGACACTAACTCCATCTTCCAATTCGACGTCATGGAGATCCGTTTGAACCCCAATCTCAACTTCGATCATTTATATCCTTCCACCAAGACCATGTTTGTCCCTGATCAAGACTGCCTCCAGTCGGACCTCCTCACTACTTCTGTCAACTTCCTCCGTATCTGGCGGATTGCCGATGATTCTTCACGCGTCGAGCTTAAGTCTCTCATTAATGGTAACAAAAACTCTGAATTTGCAGTCCTCTCACCTCCTTCGATTGGAAAGAGACCAAGCCCCGCCGCATCGGCCCCCGCCGCATCGGAACTTCCTCCATCGTTCCTCCATCACTATGATGAGGAAAGGTCGTTCGCCGGCTGCCTGAGTTGCGCGTCTGGTCGGCGCATCACCACCGCCTTCCAAGAAGATTCGCTTCTGGGGAGTCTGCAAGCGCCCATGAGGCTGATTCGTAGCCGAGATCCGCGATCCAGTGAAAAAGACGAGGATTTGGCTCGGCACCTTTGACTCTGCAGAGGACATAGCCCGCGCTTATGATGTGGTCGCTCGCAAACTCTGTGGTCCTAAAGGAAAGACTATCTTCCCCCCCCCCCCCCCCCCCCCCTCGTCGGCGATTCACCGTTTTTTACCGGTGCCAATGCCGCCGAGTCCAACGTCGAGCAGTATGACCAGTACAGTGGAGTTCTTCAGCGGTCCTCGTCTCTCCATCCCCCGGCCATCGTCGATCTAGCAGCCCGCAAATTCGGGGTCGTTACGTGTTCTGACCGACGAAGAAGACTGCCACAGCGACTGCGGTTCCTCCTCTTCTGTCGTTGACGATGGAGATGTGGCATTTGGAAACTGCTTCCAGTCTATCTCAACCTGCTTCCGCCTCTCAGTGATGATCTACAGAGCACCATTCTTCGTCTTTGAGGAAGGATCTGAAGAAAAAGCTAGAAAAAAATGGAATTTGGTTCTCTTCTTCATCGTTCTTCTACTTCTCTTTACTTACACTACTTCTCTTTACTTACTTCTCTTTACTTACACTTATTTTAATTTGGTTATCTCTATGATTCAGTTCCTTGATCGGGATTTTTGATCTGTTCAGTTCAGATTTGAAGCTTTATATTTTAATCTATTTGATGTTCCTCGTTTCTCCTCTACAGATCTTATCCTGTGAAAAAAACAAAAAAAAAACAAAAAAAAAGAGAGGAATCAACATCTTCTTCAACTGGTACTATTTTACCTTCACCATTGCAGTCATGATCTCCTCCACCTTCATTATCTATATCCAGAGCAATGTGAGCTGGACACTAGGCTTGGCTATCCCTGCCATCATGATGCTCATCTCCTGCGTCTTCTTCTTCCTCAGCAGCAGATCTGGTTCATCCTGATCATCCCTCCTTCGGTTGTTCCTTTTTTCCTTCGAAGCCGGATTCGGCACCATCATCAAGATCATTTCAAGCAAATTCAGGGAACTCGCGAGGGCGGCACCAGCGATACCGCCACCCGGAGATATCGCTGTCGTGGATCGGACAAGTCGTTTATTTCTCCTGCAGTATTTTTTCTTCCCTGCCCAAGCATCAGAGGGAGTTGCGTTTCCAACCGGATCTTCTCCAAGCTGCCATCAGAACCGGAGACCTCTCTACATTCTTCTTTGCATCCGGCAATTCCTGTAGCTTCTGTTGCACCTCGTTTTTTCCCTATGCAGGCGTTGGAGTCAATTTATGCAGCCTTTGTTGTGCCTCAATTTTTTTCCTGCGTAGGTGTCCGGTTCACTACACCATTGTGATTTCAACGACTTTCCCTGCGCAGACATTTGGGCAACTGCAGGCTTGCATTTTCAGCAAACAGTGGACATTATTTTCTCTTTCTAGTAGAAATTTTGGTTCGCCAATGGGATTTGTTTTTTCTCTCCAGTCCAAATCATGGAAGATCTCCAGTTGAAATCTCAGTTTTCACTCTCTGGTGAAAATCGTTGTCCCCCGCAGAACCGCACAGAGCACTGGTTTCCTTGCGGGCTCTTCCATGATCGTTTTCCCTGCAATTTTTTCAGTCGCAGATCCTTCCTGCGGGATCTTCCAGCCGTCAGACCTCCCGATTTCCTTCCAGGACAGTTGAAGCACCTACCTACAGCAGGACCTATCCCTTGATGGCTTTCCTGTCCTTGGGATGTCATTGGAACTCCCTCCTGTAATCCTTCCTGTCGATGAAATTCCCTCTTGCGGCCTTTCCTGCAGCCAGAACTTCCTGCGGACATATCTGCTGCCAACTGAACCTTCGGGATTACTCCTGTAGCCGGTTTTCTCCCATGCAGCCTTTCCCGCCGTCAAACCTCCCTCATGCAGCTTTTCTCACCGCCAGATCTACGTCAACAAATTTTTCCCTGCAGATTTTGGCCAGCTCTTCCCAAGCAAAGCACTGTTCTTTCTTGCAACATCATTGCAGCCTTCTCCGAGCACTACAACTTTCCTGAGCACTGTCGTTGGCCCTCTGTAGCTTTTTTGCAACCTCCCTGCAGCCTCCTTGCAGCTTTCCTGCAACCTCCCTACAACCTCCTTGCAGCTTTCATGCAATTATCAGTCAATCGGTGACTTACAAATTCATCAATGTCTTGAAATTAAGTTTAGTCCTCATCCAGGCCACTCTCAGGCTTCGGCCACTCTCAGTCTTCGACACTCTCAAGCTTCGGCATTCTCTGTTTCGTAGCTCTCAGGTTTCGGCGCTCTCAGGCTCAACACTCTCAGGCTTCGGCACTCTTAGACTTCGGCATTCTCGGCTTCGGGACCTTCGGTACTTACGGTTTGAGGATTGTTGAAATTTCTTGTTGGCAAATTGATGTTACCTATCCAGTCAGCATACCGCAGCCGATGTTTTCAAATTCAAGTTGAATGTGATTTTCAATCATGTTCAACTTGAGGGAGAGTGTTGAAATATCTAATTTAAATTACAGGATTTTTTATTTTTCCTGTTAAGACTTATAATAAAGAATAATTTATTCCTTCCTTAATATAAGGAATTCTTTTTTTAATATAAGGAGATATTTTCTTTTCATATATTAAGAATTATTTGTTTTCCTAATTTATATTATTTTCTATTATCTTCTAATAATTAATATGAATTAATTATTGAACATATCAGGTGATATATCTTTTCTTTCATATCATTTTTTATTATTTTTTCTATTATAGGATTTTTGTAAGGGTTATTTATACCCCCGTTCATATTAATGAAAATATTCTGAAATATTCCACTTTATTCCGAATTATTCAGAATTTCAACAGCAATAGTTTACAAAGAAAACAATTGAAGCTTCCAAAAAATAGGAAGTGGTGAGGGAACCGCTCAAACTAACCTGCTCAACAAACATATAAATTGAGAATGGGTTGGGCCTCGTGCAAAAAAGTAGAAGTCCAACATTTATAGCTAGTGCGAATGGATGCCTCCATCCCAAAAGTACTGTAACAAGTAAAACAACAGGCAACTGAAATTTCCTTGCTAAAGACCAGAAGGCATGGAGATCATCCTTCAAGAATCCCGATGGCTCCACCGTCTCAGCATAATTGTCTGCAAAAGTAAATCAACAGCTACTTAAAAACTGGTTATCTGAAGATGTTATAATTTCCATACTTCCAAGGATTGTCAGCTCACCGTCCATAGCATAGATGCTATTTGTAAACTGATAGGTCAACCCAGTGGCAACTGAGAAACCAAGAAAGCTTCCCACAAATAACTTCTGGCCTAAGAGCATTTATGAGATTGCAAGGAAAAAGGAAGTGAATTTTGAGCATAAGAATAACAAAAAAAGAGTTCGTTTGAAAGAGGCAGAAAAAAGTATATAGCAATTTAAAATAAAACTCTTCAGCATTATGAACTGCAAATGAGCTTCATACAAGGTAATCAATATGGCTTGCACTTGAAATCATCATTTTTATGATATTATCAATATAAGAAACCCAATTATTTAACATCACTTTATGTGCCCTTACAATGTTGACTCTTTTGTTCAAATCTTTTTGCCCAACATCTCCCTGTGCTATCTTTGCCAGCTCCATTTTCTTCTTAATCTTCCTCAAATTTATTATATCCACCTCCGTAGCAATCTTTTTCCATGTGTTACAGGTGCCTAAAATAATAACATATTTTGAATGAGCAAAACAGCCTCCTCATAATATAGTCATTCCCCTCTCATTTGATGTTCCAAGCTTTACAACTCATCCATCATAATAGTTTTTGAGCGCTCAAATTGGTCAAAAATGCAAATTATAAATATCAACCAAATTAGGACGTTTATGATTGGGATTATTTCCATTAAAAGGCTCGGAAACTATTATCCAAAACATGTTTTATGAAGCATGCTTGATGAAACAAGTCAAATCTCTACCAAAAAAAGACCTTTTTCAAAGCAAAATATTGGAAAAATGCATTTCATATAAATCTCAATCATCCAAAAGAGTTTTTTGTTTTTTTTTATTTTGAACACAAGACAATCATTTCATTAAAATCTTGGTAATTTCACTAATATATTACCACAAACTTTCACATTTACCGATATACAGAAGAATCCTAAAGTCAAAAAAATCAAGGGATTTTCACTAGTCTACCATCACAAACTTTCATGTTTACTGATATACCATTCAATTCTTCATAAATACCAGTATTCCGCCATGTTTCTTCAGTCACTAATAAACCAGCCAAGATAGTTTATATTAACCTAAAATAACATTTCATTAACCCAGTAGAATATTCTGTTTTATGTTTTAGGAAACAATAAATTTTATGCGAAGATCATTAGAAAATCTTAGTTCACTTTCGATCAAAAAATAAATTAATTTTAATGAAATTAGGGTATTCTTACAAAGTTTACTCAAAATTAATCACAAAAATAAAATGATTGAGATATTTTAAATTTTTTTATTTACTAAAAATGGATTTTATTGAGAAAACATATGAAACATAAACATGACAAATTTTATCATTAGTTGTCTTGCAAATAACGATTAAATAGAAATAAAACTGCTAATAATTGTGAATCCATAGTAAATTAGCATTAATTATGATGTTAAAAATAAGAACACATATAGACAACGTCTTTGTGATCAATTTGAGTTAACTTCTATCATTTATTTAGTTTAAGGGTGATAGGCAGTAACATGTGTGGAAAAGCTAGATATTCAGGGAGCCATACAAAATAATAAAGGGAAATTTACATACCTAGCAAACATTTCTTATGTATTCACATAACTGACACCTAAACTTTCATATTTTGCAGACATAGCACTTTAGTGCTTTAAACCTTGCATGAAGAGGTGTATTTCACTTTTAAAAAGTGATAATAGTGCTCTGTTTTCTGTGATTTTAATGATTTGAGTGTTGTGTGTAAATATGAAAGTTTAGGTGTGACATATGTAAATACATATGAACTGTGTGGTATTTAAAAGCCCCTAAAATATTAAGAATTATAAGAGTAATAGTGAATGTTTTTGGCGGTATATATTCAGTGGTTATTGCATAATAACTTTTTAAGTGCAGCATAAATTCAATGACTGCAATCTCTGAAAACTTGCCTGATAGGTTCGAGATACGCCAAGCTTTCTTCTGCAGTATCCTCCCAAATGCCAGGACATGAGTTTCTGACTCAGGGTAAGCATGTTTCGGTAAAATCTTCACCAGTCCTGATCTTCCACGAACTGTATCATTCATACATGGAAAGGAATAAGATTGGGAAAGAAAGAAAACAATAATTAATGAAAAAAAATACCATAAGTAAACTGCTAAAAGTTTGAAATAATAATTACAAATTCAAAATCAAAGAAAATTACAACTATGCAAACTTTCAAGGTGTGTTGTCTGGTGCCAACCATGTGCATTAATTAGAACAAAAAAATTCAATCAATAAGTATCTAAATAAAGATTAGCAACCCACCTCTGAACAAGTAACTTTTTTCTTACAATAAAGGATGCAAATTTCATTTTATTTCTGATCATAGTAAATGAGAAATATTTTTAAAATGACAACCAAACAGCAGAAAAATAAAAATCTGAATCAATATATATGGCATTCGTGCCATAATCAGCATTTTTCAATACAAAACAAATAACACGTTAATAGATCATATTCTGTGGCACTTGGGAACTATGGTAAAAGATAAATAATTTAGGGCTTGTCTGGGTGGGTTTCTCCTCTTCATAAAAGGGGCTGATAATTGTTGTCAAGAAGCTGCTTTTATTTATAAACAGCATCTGCAAGGAGAATCTATTCAAACATAGGTAGGCAATTCCATCCAAAGACAGGTAAACCTTATTCGCAGTAGTAGATTTAAAACCAGCTTAGCAATTTTCGTCCAAATTAACTTGCTTTTGGCAGCTTTCAACAGTTGCAAAGAAAACAAGAAGTTGAAACAAATAGGGTCTAATTTATGTGCTAATTGCTCTAACAGAAAACAAAAGGCAGGACAGTTTAATTGAATATAATGTGTCTTACAAAAGATCAAACCAACCTCATTAATCATTTAACAGCCATTAGGCGGACACATTTGCTAATGTTGCTCCCTAGTTAAATTATAGTCGGTTCGAACACATTGATCCTGGATGAAAAGTCGAGATACCACTATTGCACCACCCCTCAATCTCCCCTTTAAGTTATTTAAATGCTTCAGTAGTGTACCAATAACTTCAATGAAAGTGGCAGTACTAATCCTAATTCGCAATGTTTAGCTTGAGACAATTAGTGCACTAGATGCTCTTCTCATCTTTAATTGTCATTAAGACCCTATAATTGGTTGTGTTCGGAGGCATATGCTCCCCCCGTCAAGAGTTGCATTGTTAATGTGATTGTTGACATAGACAAAGGGGAAGCTCAAATCATTGGTTTATCCCTGCTTCCTTTGCTAGGAAAGTGTGGAAATCCTCTTCTAAACATTCTTGTGCTTGGTTAAAGATTACTCGTACAATTACTGGTGAACTTCGACAACTTTACAAGTTGCAATTTGGGCCTTGACCAGCATTAGAGAGAGTAGTGTTGACACCATTCTAAGATTCCTAGAATGTAAGGATCAAATGAATGAGATAGAATCAATTTTAAGAAGTTGCGGGATAATTGTTGTTTTGTGAGATAAAATAGCAAGAATGCGAAGCTGACGCTAGGTACGTTGAATACAGACGCCCATGGTTATTGTCCCAGATGAAAACAACAAGAGAATGTCGTTGATGGAGATTTTCTAGGTGAGAACAACAAAAAAACATTGTTCGGTGACTGTTTGGCTTGACAAAAATTCTAAGGAGGATCCACCAATTATTCCTCAATCAAGCTACACACACCACTTGAGAAGAAAATTAATACAACACTCCTAATGTGATAAATCTCAAAAAAACATGCAATAAAACATAAACAAATTGTCCAAATAGTCCCAAGCAAACAAATATAATAGAGCCACCAACCAACTTCGAACCTAATTAAAGAAAGTAAATAGAGGCCCTAAACAACTGGCAGACCCAGTTATCTTGGGAAAAGCCTGGACCAAACCGACTTAGTTGGAGTTGCTGACGATTTGTCTAAAATACCATATTCTCCATGAAAAGTGTTGGTGTTGTGGATGATCTGTCAACTAGGAAAAGATGGGATATTGTTTCCTAAATAGTTGAAGTTAAACTATTATATGTTAGAAATTATGTGGAAGCAAAACTTGAGGTTTACACCTTACAGATTAAAAAAAAAAAGAGGATCGCATGCATATTAAGTAATGAATTTTAACATGGAAAACTTGGCAAAGAAAAACTATTGAACTTAGCTTAGTTAAGGATAGTTTCATTACCACGAGTACTTGATTACAATAATCTGCCCTTAAAAAAGTTGGGATTACATTCCAAGAAATGGAGCTAACTTTAGTGCAGGTAGCTAATGGCTACATTGGAAATAAACAATAATTGGAGTCAAGACCCGGAGACTGACAAATATTGCTATCGGTCACTATTGGATGTAGATTATGAATGGAGAGTAATATTAACATCAACTGAAGATATACTTCAGTGTTGATAGACAATGAGCACTATATGGTGAGTGACATCAAAATCGATGAATTTACATATTAGGCAAACAACGAATGATTGCAATCATTGTTCATCAAGCGCAACAAGGTAATCCAAGCCGCCCTTCGCTTGCTAGCAAATATGATCAACATCCAAGGAAATAAAAGAGAAAAATGGTAAAATAACATAGATGGTTGATTAAAGCTGTAGAATTCTCCTACAAATAAAATTTTCTCTAAGTAAGATTACATTAAGAGTGTGTAAAAAAAGGCCAACCAAATATACACCTTGAATCAGATGACCCAAATAATTATATCCTCACTTCAGAAAGTGATCAAAGGATCTTATGATGGCCCAATGGGTCGGTTTAGTGTGGTGTTGCTATCATGGGGTATTCAGTACAATATGACATTTGATATTTGTTCAAGCAACTTCATGGTGTACTAGTAATATTGATGGAGCTTTCGTTTGAAGATCTTGTATGTTCCAGTAATTTGATTAATTACTAATTGTGAATCTATGAAGACTTTTATTTTTTAGATTTTCAATAAAATTGTCAACTCCAGACTAGTAATTCGAGCTTCAAGGTCAAACTGACCACCAACAATGATTATTGGCAATGGTTCATCATTGGTAATATATTTGATCGGCAATTGAAAGATAACTCATAAAACGTCTTGACATCATGAGCATGGCAAGGTTGACAGAACAAAACCTTAAAGTCCACTCATCCCCAAAATGAGAAGATATGGGACATAATTCCATTATTGTGCTGACAATCGGTTATTATCTATGTAAGAATTTCCTCATCCTGAGAAGAATAATCCAACATCAATAATGGTTTGCAAATTAGAGACTAATGGAAGCCACAATACAACAACAACAACAACAAAGCCTTAATCCCACTACGTGGGGTCGGCTACATGAATCTTTTTTCTTCATTGTGTCCTATTTAGTGTCATATTTTCATTTAATACTAATAAATTAAGATCATTTTTTATATAATAAGCCCCAAGTCTTCCTAGGTCTACCTATGTCTTTCTTAACATAAGTCGAATCTAAAACATTTACTATCCTAATCAAATCATCAGATGGTTGACGCTTAATGTGACCAAACCATCTAAGACGACTTTATCTAATTTTGTCTGTCACGGGAGCTACACCAACCCCATCACGGATATATTCATTTCTTAACATAAGTCGAATCTAAAACATTTACTATCCTAATCAAATCATCAGATGGTTGACGCTTAATGTGACCAAACCATCTAAGACGACTTTATCTAATTTTGTCTGTCACGGGAGCTACACCAACCCCATCACGGATATATTCATTTCACATTTTGTCTCTAAGTGTAAAACCACTCATCCATCTAATCATTCTCATCTCGGCAACACTTAACTTAGTATTATGCTTCTCTTTTAAAGGCCAACATTCAGCGCCATAAAGCATTGCAGGTCTCACCACTGTCTTATAAAATTTTCCTTTCGGTCTAAGATGGTGGTGATACCTGCAAATTTAGGGAAAAAATTTCAAGTCATGAGCAACTAAAAAACAGTGACAAAACTCCTTTGTTTTTAAGGCAATATATTATTCTTTCAAAGAGCAACCCAACAAAAATGGCTAATGATTTTGTGTCATGTAAAGGTCATGATGGCTTAAGGAGTTATGATTTCTTAAATTTTCCCTAACAAATTGTGTTATCCAGAGCACCTCTTCACAATCCAAAGTCAAACACCTAAAACAAATTGAGGGAATCTCTCAGCCAGCTAATTGAGAAACGAAATAAATCAAACAGGCCTAGTTTGCCCAATTCTTCAAGGCCTGCATTTTGCATTAAAATAACAAAGGTTTACAAAAGTTACAAAAAACTGCTGAGTACCAGTCTCACAAAAAGCTCTATCCCACTCACAAAATTTAAATACTTTAGAAAATTATTGTTGAAATTTGAATTCAGATGGTTCTAAAATAATCTTCAAAAGTGTTTAAATTTGATTATGTGTCCCATTTGAACCCAGAGTTGCCCTGAAATTAATCAGATTAATTTTATGAATTAAAAAAAGGATCATAATTTACAAAACAAATGGAGATTTGGATTGAAAATCATCATCATCTGCCTTAAGTTTCAAGCAATGTTGATAATCAAATCAAGATTGCTAAGAAATACCTGCATAAGTCTCTCTTTCTACTTAAAACCTAAATACAAGATAAAATCAATAGCCTGACAATCTCAAGATTATTCTAGACATGTATAAATCTGAAACGCATACAGTGCCTCTTGATGCTCCTAAATCAAAGCACCAGATGCTCCTAAATCAAAGCACTCAAAGCACCATCAAACCCAACAATAAAGATTCCAACAGAACACTGCTTGAAGTAATCATGAACTTTTCAGCCACAATAACTAATGGAAAAAATCTAAAGAAGCAGCAGCGCCACCCAAATCAACAAGAGAATTATACCGAAATAGGGTTCCCAAAATTCTAGTTCGATTCAAGAACCTAAGGGACATAACAGCAAGGGCATATTAATCTTCAAGAAAAGATTGGAAGACCGATAATTCGCATGATTTGCACTGACTGAAAAATCTAAACAAGTAACCAAAAAATAACTATGAGGGAGAGTGAGATAATGGTGAGCCGACTGGGATAAACTTACAGGGATTTCTTAAAACAGAAAAGGGGGGAGAAAGGAGAGAAATCGAGAATGCAGAAGTTTTTATAGGAGATAAAAGCCTTCGTATGCTAGTCATTCCGCTTCTTCTTCCACCCCCGTCCGCGTTTCTTCAGAACTGTAACCGAGATAGTGGTAAAAAATTCGGATTACTTTCACTACTATATATATATATATATATATATACGGAATGAACTCCCAAAGGCTAAACAAAGGCTAAACGTAAAATCTTAGTCTTTTAGTCATAAACTTAGCCAATCTATGGCTTCTTTTATGGTAAGCAAATGTAAAAATTTTAAATGATAAATGTTGTTTCATTATGATGTATTTAAATCTTGTAAGAATATTATAATCTTGCTCTAATTTTGCTCAAACCATGCTTGAGCATTTTCATGACCTTGATCAAATCATTTTTGAATCTTACTCAATTTATAATCAAACCTCAAGATTATTTTAATTATGTTAAAATCATGTTTGAGCCTTGTTGGAGCATTTGATAAGTCTCTCAAAAAATTTATATTAATATGCACGAGTCTTGACACACATTTAAACTAAAAGTATCAATAAAATTTGGAAGTGTCTATACCCTAATTTATGATTAAATGAAATGTCTCAATGAGAGAAACCAAATGACATTAAAAATGATATGATTTGAGTTTCAAGTTAGCTCAGATCATGCACTTAAAGCATAAAGATAAGTCTTGAAATATACTTTAGAGGATCAATAATCTGCAAATCTGATGAGTTGATTATCAAATTGAGCGTCTCAGCGGATGAATTCAACGAGTCAATATCACTTAATTCTGACACCAATAAAACGTTTAAATACTCATAAAATATAATCTAATAAAAGTGCTTTGAGTCCTCTAGTAGAGTGGTATGAATTCAATAAGTAACTATGGAGGATTCTACTCACCAATTTATAAATAGACCTCACACTCTTTATGAAAAAATACTTGAACCTTGAGAAGAAAACTGAAGGGAGCTCCAAGCTCTCAAGAACTTGACCTCCATCATCATCATCAGATCATTGTTGTCGAGCCACGGCTATAGTTGAACCACCACTGACAGTAGTCACTGTCATTGGACCAATGATGCGAGACCTTTGTAGTCGTTGTAGAGCTACTGTTGTCTGATCATTGTCACAACCCCATCGTTGAGCAGTCTCCTTGTTGGACCATTGTTGCAGTATGTCGAACCACCGCAATCAATCATCACTGCTGCCCGCAGACCAATATTTCTAGGGCGCTATATCGAACCACCGCTTTCGATCACTTCCAAACTGCCACCACCCAACAGTCAACTTCGCTGCCACCATCGAAAAAATGCCAACTGATAGCCACCATCACAACACCATGGTCGAGTGATTGTGACCATACCACTGTCACCATCACTAGGCTACTGTTGCCCGCCCATTACCACCACCACCACTATCATCAGACCATAGCTACCTAAATATCAACATTGCCCCCACTGAACAAACCTACCTGGTTGCTGCCACCACAAACCGACAAAGGTTGAGCCACCACCACCATCACTATCATCGAGCTGCCACCATTTTTAAACTGTTGATGCCATATTAGACCCTATTATCAAGTTATCATCACAACCAGACCATCGACACCTGACCGACGTCTATATTCTATAGTGTTTTTGCCAATTAATTGATCTTGTGTAGCTGCAGACTCTTGGTCCTTGGTGAGGATCTCATGTCGACAGAGCGAGACTAGATAATCATGTATAAGGTGAATTATCATGACCCGAAAAGGTAGTTCACTTATCAACAAACCAAATTGATTGTGACTGCCTGAATTCTCGCTCATCAATCTATTGTCCGCATTTGCCAAATGGCCTCATAGTTTTGCCTCATTGGTGAAACTTCCGAGAAGGTCACTCATCCTATGAGTGCTCCATGACAAGCAAACTTGACTTTGAATTTTATATTCAAATTCCACTGTCACATCAAAATGCACCTCAATTTTTAAGAGTACAACTTTATTCTACTTAAAGGATTTCACAATCTCTTCCACTTAAGCAGTTGATGTCCTCGTTAATTCTAGCATGCCAATCATTCGCCTTGTAGATGAGATTCCGGAGGTGGCTCCCACCATGCAACGATTTATTTGCCCCATCTAGTTCAAGAGGCGGGTCCCATGACGTAGAAATTTATTATAAATGATTTTAGTTCTCATAATTCAGTTGTTGATGTGCTTTGATAACATTTGTGATAACCCAAACTCTCATTTGTCAAGGTATTGCTCGCTTTGTCTAAATAGCCTCACGATTTTGTCCACATGAGTGTAACTTCCCAAGAGATCACCAGTTCTATGAGTGCTCCATGACTTAACTCTGGAGTTTCAATTGAAATTTTAACGTTAAAAGAAAATGCGACTCAATGTTTAAAAGTTATACTCTACTATACTTGGGTTTCACCTGGGTAACTATAAAATTATGTTATATTGACAATTCTGGATACTTGATGAAGAGTCTTGGTGGTTTCAGTGGAATGACTGGTGATATTGAACAACATAGTATTTCCTCGAGTCAGATCCACTAGAAGATAAGTTACGACATTATGTCAGCTTTTTTGTAGTGTTCGGGCTGGAATACTTATTTGTCGTGTTTTAATTATATCATTTGGCTATATCTTTCTTCTGGTTCGGTCAGACTTCAGCTTGATCTTGGACGACTGCATCCAGTTGGCCTTTTGTCTTTGAACGGGCAACTGCATCGGATTGGAAAAAATAATACCTCATCTTCCATAAGCAAGCCCTCGTTTGCGCCACTTTCTTCCTTTCAGACCTATAGATCTCCTCGGGAGTCGGGGCCAAAATTGATACATTTTCCAATGCATAATAAATTTCATAATACTTATCTCACAATTTTTAAAATAATTATTTTTTCCATCACAATTTCAAAAATATCTTTAAAATAATTATTGTCATTTGCTTCACACTCATCACGTAGCAGCTAGAGCTCCCAAGGCCATCACGTGAATTATCTAATCAACAAACACAAAGTTTCTACTTTCAAATGATGCCAGGTGAGATAATTTTTCAACAAACATGCACCACGAGGAGAAGCAACTAGTATCATTACATGTGTGAACGTTAACAACAATATTTTTTATATATTTTTGGTATTATGGCGTAATTTCTCCTAGGAAAAATGATTTCCAAGTAGGATCACAAAAAAGAAAAAGCTAGTTGTCTCAAATAACTCATATCAGACTCGTTGGTAACTTGTTGTTGCGCACTCTCCCGTGATATAGTGATTGAGAGTGTAATCTCCCACCGTGAGATTGTGTGTGCGAATACGTATATGGACTTTTGGGCTCACATTTCCAGGAAATAGCTCATTTTCAAATAGCTATTTAGGTAAGTAGAACAAGAATATATTTTTTAAACTCAAATTATAAACAAATAGAACACCAAAAATCATTTGTTCCCTCATGTGTTCGACTTGTTTTTACTCGAGTTAAGAAAATTCCAACATTATATATATAAATATATATATATATTGTGTGTTTAAATATGTATATCAAAAAATAGTTTACTTGAATCTCGAGACAATCCAACGGTCTAGATAAAAATATAAGTGATGAAATGGTGGAAAAAAATCGATTTGATTAAAAAAAAACCCCATAGAGATTTGAAACTCTCATCTTAAAGTGAGACATTAATAAAATACAATGAAACTTCTAATTCATTTAGTAAAGTGGAGGCAAACATGTAATTTTATACTCGGTTCCTCACACTCTACAAATAGGGAGCCCTGCGAGAAATCTCTCCTTCTCAATGCCCCGGGATACCCTCGACCTGTATTTACAGGGTAAGTACATACGTGTTATTTTATTTCTTTCTTCTTTTTTTTGTCTTTTTCTTTTTCTCCCTCAATGTCCACACTGCTTCGATCATCGGGCATGTCCCACAAGAAAAAAATGGATTCAATATCATAAAATGTAAGGTGAGTTTAGTACATGCTACCAACAAGATGGGAAGTGCACCAACGAGAGGAAATACATCTTAGAAACACTCATAATAGGAACCATGTTAAGGAGTCCAAACAACAACAAATATGGGGCCGAAAACACTGTTTTCGCCGCTTTCCTAGAGGTTTTAGCTAGGAGGTGAGTATTGCAAAGCCGATGGCCGACTCCAGACGATCAAAACAAGTCGATCGACCGTACCTTTTTGAGCAATTGACACCTCATACAACAAATAAAGGGAGTGTTGTTTTACAATTTATCTTATGCTATGATATAAATTTCATTAACATTGTTTGAGGTTCAACTAACAGTCGAAGAACCCAGTTTCGATTGAGTGAATAAGACGTTAATGATAAAAGATTCCCCTTTGGGGAAACAAACAAAAATTTCCCTTCTCGGGCGAACAAACAAAAAAAATCTTATCTAGTATGAGCAAACAAATGACTCCGCTTCGAGGTTAGCAAACAAAAGACTCCCATTTGGGGGGAGCAAAAAAAATATCCCCTCTAGAGCGAGCAAACAAAAACTCCCCTCTTGGGCGTGAATAAAAAAAACCTGAGACGAGCAAATGAATGACTCCCCTCTGGGCCAAGTAAAAAAAAACTCCCCTTTGGGGAAAGGAAAAAAAATCCCCTGTTGGAAGAGCAAACAAAAGATTCTCCCTTCAGGACAAGCAAACAAAAGACTCGCCTCTAAGGGTGAGCAAATGAAAAAACTCTGTGCTGAACGAGCAACCAACGACCCAAAATAGCAAATGGAATAAGCAAAGACTACGACTCGAGCTAAATGACATTACAATTGATGATTTCCCCAAGAGCTCGGTCACCAGTCAACATAGGTAACCTAATCAATGTAAGCGAATATCTCAACACAACACTACCAAAGAGTCGATTTAGATAAAAATACTTTTGAGCCAACAAGATAGCGCAAAAGATGCAATAACAGAGCGCCCAGAGCTCTTAAACGGAGAGTATAATCAGTGATTCATGCATTCATATTTTTTTGCTTTAAAATTTTTTCTTGTCTTATCACAACTGTTGCTATCAATTAGCCAAAAATTTAGGGAATTTAATATGTACAAATAAGAACGATATGCATGAATCTTGAGCAATCTAAACTTCAATACAAAAAGATAGATGATACAAATTTATAAAAAATTTGTTATGTCTATAAAAAGAGATCATAAAGAGATGTGATTCCCTATTAAAACATAGACTATAAAAATAACATAAAGACTTGTAATTCTCATATTAAATTGGAGTATTAATAAAAATAATATAATACCATACAACTTCCATATTAAAGTAAGGGAATCATGTAATTTTTTACTTAGTCCATATTTCACTTATAAATAGTGAGCTCATGACATGAAAAAATGGGGACCTCTTTCTTGTATTTTCAAATGTAGGGAGAACTATATTTCCTTTTTAATGTAACTGTTATTTTTTAAATAAAAAATAGGTCAAAGAGCCCGATGATACTCTAGTTTGCCCTTATTGGATAAGTCTACATATGTTATTATTATTTCTGTCTCCCTCAATGTCTCAACTGCTTCGATTATTAGGAGTGACTCGCAAGACAATTATGGATTCAGCAAGATCATAAAAGTTTGCATGGTTATATGGTTATGCACATTCAATTGCATAAAAACAAGACATATTCAACCCTAAACTTTTACATCTATTTTTTAATTAATTCAAACAAAGCAGTTTAGAACGAAACATAAGCCGATCATAAACAAGAACATGTACGTCAAGCCAAACAAGAATACGCTATTCACGAGTAATTTTGAACACCAATCAGTTTCAAAGGAGCTCAACATGGCTAAACCTAAAAGGTTGGTTCACAACCATTTTTCTAAGTTTATTTTAATTGTGTTCTATTTATCTTAAAATAAATTTCCAACGTTCTAAATTTAAAGAAAAATTTAATTTTCCAAAAAAAATTGTATTTTATAGCAGAAAGAAATATGCCAAATAATTTTAGGATAATATAATCCCAGTCGTCCAAGAAAAATTAATCTAAAAATAAATGTAATATATTTTCTTAATCTGACGCTCCTTGTTTTTCGCTTTCCAGCCTCCACCAGATTTTCTTAGTTGAAGTCAGTGAGGAGCTGGAGGATCTGGTGCTCGGCTTCTGCCCTTCAGTTTCAGCTTTAGCTTCGTAGATTTGGTGATAAATCGTTAAGGTGAAGAACGGAACCAGTTTTTTTAACTAACAGACGATTCGTGTTCGATTTCATTTCCATCAATCCGCTGTGAGAACATTTTTCTGATAAGACTGCAAACGAAACATACTTTGCTTAATTTTTGTTGTTTCCAATTGATCGATGCATCATTCTTTTTATTTGTTTTGATCCCGCGATTGTTTAGTTTAATGAGTTCATTATGGCATTTGAGAAGTTTGAGTGTGAACGGGGAGAAATATGGAGACATGGAGTTGCTGATTTCTTCTAATTTTTCTTTGAATCTATGCTTATGTTCATATTTAGGCTCAGGTTTTTTTTCTTGTTGATTGGATTGAATTGAAGCTTTTGCAGCTTAGGAATTAGAATTAGATCAAATTCTTTTTAGTTTCTCTGTGATTATATATTTCAATTACTTGGATTATATGTTAGAGTGACACAGAGTAGTGTTGACGTTAATATAGTGGAAAATAAACTCATGCTGCTTGGGATTTACGGTGAAGGGTAGAAAATGCGCCAATAGGATGCATAGATTAATTTAAGGTTTAAGGATTTTGAATGATGATTCCTAAAGCTAACCCTAGATAATTTGGAGGAGGCTAGTGATGATGATGTTCTTGATTAAGCCTGTCAACCATTCATGTTGCTGTTGGTGAATCCTAGGAATTTCTGGGACTGTTTGGTAACGAATTTAACTTAAATCTGGGCGACAGAACCAAATTTTAAATATTGGATTTAGTAAATCCACTTTCTTCTCAACCCTCTCAGTTTTGTCTCATATCCCAGATTTGCTAATCCTGGTTTTGGCAGGATTTAGTAAATTCAATATATGAAGATTATGCATTTTTTCGTGGCATTTACTGCTTTTGTCTCACATTTCCCGTTCATCAAGCTTGCAATCAATTACCTGAATGAGTTGATTATGTTATGGTTTTTTCGTCTATATGAATGATGCTCTGCTTGTTTTGATTTTCTCACCAAAATCTCCAAGGCTTGATGATTTATGTATGAAAGATTCCCATACATGCTGCTCATTTCCTTTGCATTTACAAATCTAGCACCTAAACTTCAATTTTTACACACATATCACCTTACCTATGCATGAAAAGCTGTAGCTGTATTTAACTTAAAGCTGTATTTAACTTTTTAATAGTTAAAATGGTGGCATTTTTGACGTGATATGAAAGATTTTTATAGTATAGATGTAAAAAGCATAATTTAGGTGTTAGATATATAAATTCATAGAGTACTTATGTAAAAGCCCATTAATGTATATGATTTTGAGAAGGAAATATAACCTACTGTGTCTTGTCAATTGAGCTTATGAATATAAAAAATTGCTTCATGATGAGGATTCTTCATCTGATGATGAATTTTTAACACTTTTTTTGGTTTTTACTTATCTAGCCGGTTAATTATTTGAAGAACATGAGCAATACTTTAGGAGCAGTTCAGCAGAACCTATGTAGATCGTTTGTGCTGGAAAATCCGAGCGATACTCGTCTACTGATATCGTCAAGTCTGCCATGCAAAATCTCCTCTTACTTGAAAAATGACCGAGCATTTTTACATAAGCAGAGACTCCGATTCTCCACCAGATTTCTTGACAACAGTTTGAGAGATTGGAAAGCAAAATTCCAACAGAAAATGCGTAGGGTTGCTTATATGGTTCCCCATGCTGTACTGGCCACTGATTCTTTTCCAAAGGTTATAATTTCCTTCACTTTTTTCTTTACTGTTTTTCTTAGATGATAAGATACATATGCATAACCTTAGTATCTGATGTTCTTCCATTCTTTATTATTGTGTCCTTTAATGTGATTTAAACATTAGTTTTCATTATGTTGAGTGAATCTTATTTCTCATGAAATCTTATATTCCTTTTCAGATTTTTATGGATTTCTAATTTTGGCAACTTTAATATTTTTATTTAGAACAAATTAAGGGAATTTTTTTGGGTTTTCCATCAAAGAAGATTAAACTTCCGCTAAATAAAAGATTCGGAAAAAATGTTTTTTTGTTCGGAATCTTATCCAAAGTTATTTTTAATGACCCCTTGACCTTATGATATCTTTTGCCAATTCGAACTAGTTTTCATCCTAATCAAATGGCTGCACAACTACCATGCGGTTGAAAAAATTGTGCTGTATCACTATTATTCTCATATTATCGCAAACTGTAGTTTTTGCTAAACAAGCTATAACATAGCAGCGCAGGCTAATACTATGATTGCATTAAGATTTGTGTTCTATCACTATTTGATAATGCTTTCTTTTTTGCAGCTTCGAGGCAAGTTCAAATTGGATGGAAATTCTGAGCTGCAGGTTTTTATTTAATCATTGTATATGTAAAAATGTAAATTCAAAATATTGATCTGCACTAACTTTTCCATCATTTATTGTTTAGATTGTTTTGTCTTCTAAGTCAGACTCTCTTTTGCAAATTGATTTCCAAATTACCAATGGGGGTGAATCCCTAGTTCTTCATTGGGGTGCAGTTCGCACTAGGAATAAGTATATGCCATCCACAATAAGTATAGTTTATCATTCATTTGCTTTTCCATTTTAATATATTTTTCTTATATTTCTAGGGATTGGTCTCTTCCTTCACGTCGTCCAGACAGAACAAAAGTTTATAAAAATGAAGCTCTTAGAACTCCATTTGTTAAGGTAAGCATTTTTTGAAACAGGTTCAATGATCAATTACTCTGATATCACTATAAAGACCCCTCTCCTTTTAGATAGTTAATATTATTAACTTACCACACAATTCTTATGTATTTACATATCTAACACCATTGTATTCATATTTATATGCATATCACTCAATTTTTTAACATTACATTAAAAATACCACTATCAGTAAATTTATAGAAGTAAAATGCACCTTCTAATGCATAGGTTTATGCCACCAAGGTGTTAACTATCAAAGTTAGGGTGTTAGATATGTAAATACATAAGGATTGTGTGGATGAATGCAAATTTCCGTTAAATTTAATGAGAACAATTTCCTTTTCACTAGTGCTGATTATGGTTATGTACAGTCTGGTTCCAGTTCCTTAATTAAATTAGAGATTGATGACCCAGAAGTACAAGCTATTGAGTTTCTTATACTTGATGAGGCACAGAACAAATGGTATGAGATGGGCTTAGTCAATTTTTCATTTCTACAATGATGTTTTGTTTAAGCATTTCTGGTTATACAGGTTTAAAAATGATGGCCATAACTTCCATATTCAGCTCTCTGGAAATAGCCCACAAATTTTAGGCGCTTCCATTGCGGAAACTATTAATGTTACAATTCCAGAGGACCTCGTGGAAATTTATGCATATCTTAGATGGGAGAAAAAGGGCAGACAGAATTACACACCAGAGCAGGAAAAGGCCAGTCTTTTACTATATTTTGTTATTAAAGTATGCGTTGATATCGAGTAATTGTTTTTCTTATTTGGATTTGAGCCTTCTTTCATAGGATTCTGTGTTAGGGTTTATGGCACCGCACAACAGTGGGGAATTGGGGTGCTAATTTCCATACTTGAAAGTTTTTGTAAATTTGTCCAATTTTCAATGATGTGGTAGTAGAGATTAATGATAGGATTGTACAAGTGAGAGTGTTGGTTGATGCGAGAGCAGAATGATGATTTGAATAGCTTCATAAAAATTACCTCGCAGACATTTATGTATCTTTAATATCAAGTGTAAGTGCAAAAAGTGTATGCAATGAAAATGGTAGAAACTTATAAATCAATGCTCACGCCATTCTAGGATTTCTGGACGGCTTGGGAGAACACTAAAAAGGATTAGGTAAGTTGTAGGATGTGTAATGAAGGTGGGACAAGTGCGGGCGGCTGAAATCCGGCATGGACGGCGGTTGGACAGTGAGTTGTTCACTGAGAAACAACAGCTTGCTGCTTGAAAACTACACGTGGCAGCGAATTCGGAAAGGGAGGAAGCCTTTAGACTTTTGGGAGAGATCACCACTTGATGCAATCATGTTACAAATACAATACTCGAGAAAAATCAAATGATAAAACACTCCAATAGAGAAAACATAGAGAAAAATCTTGAAATAACATAAACCAAGCAAAAAGCCTCTAAAAAAAAATTATATATAATTCCCCTTCAAGTTTACTGAATACTGCGGGCTCTAAAAATTCTAACGCCTTCTCATGAACTCTCTGCATTTATTTTATTTTATCTGAGAGAATTTTGGAAGGTCGAATAAATTTCAAAAGGCAGATTGGATTGTGGGTAAGACACTACTTAGAGATTTAGCCCTCATGTTTCGAGGACTTTTTGATATAAGGTTCGAGTTTCTCATAGACGCAAACCCCTATGGTTATTTACCCCTCCCGGTAACGTGACAATATTTTCGATTAAGACTAATCATTAAGAATTCAATATTTAACTTGCAATAGTAGCAAACATAGAATTTAAGTTGTAAAATTTATCACTTGGAGTTTAAAGCGGATTATGGGAAATGACGACGAAACCAGATCAAGATCCCATGTTTTCGTAATCCTGGGTCATTGTGATCCCTGATTTACTTAGTCAGAGAAGATTGTTGACCTAACTTGAAAGAAGTATTCTTATCAGCAGTTATGAGCTGCGTTGTCCAAGAAATCCTTGTAGATCCGCGGTTGATGTTTGTCTAAGGGGATAAATTTTAGTTAACTTTAACTAATAGAAGACTTTGTGCCAATCAATTGTACCATTATATTCACAATTCAAATGGTAGAAAGCTATTATGGAACATACGAGCTACAACTGTGACTGTAATATAATAGTGCAATTTGACGACAATCACTCGGTCAGAGGGCTATGCTCATAACCGCTATTTTGTGGTGCCATTTAGCAACGAAACCATGCGGACGTAAGACTCGAGCTACTTCCTTACTAGCATGCGATTGCTTTGATTATGAATATAATAATACTTTTAATATGACATTAACTCATTTAGAGCTGAAGTTAGTCAGAAATTTGTCACCCATCCTGTTGAAATCTTAGATCAACATGACCATTTAAAACTTTTATATTCGAAGAGGGGAAATTTAGTTTTGTTAAATTAGACTTTTAATATACGAGTTCTGTCGGATCCCGTCCTTACGATAATGAAGATCGGACTAGATAGTTTGGACATGTAAATTCTTATTTCAAGATTTTGGCATCAATTTCAAAATTACTAGACTCGTAAACTCCAGTTCTTGTGAGGAGGATCATCATAGTTGGGTGAAACTTACAAACCTATTCTATAGACAAGACAACCCGATTAGCCTGCAAAACATTCTCGAACCTAGTATTTGAGCATTCAATACATTAGCTGAAGCACAAACAGACTTATAATTTGACATATTTTTATTTAGAGTATAAGTTCTGTCGATTCCCATCCTTACAAGTAGGAGGATCAAACTAGGTGATTTGAACTTATAAATTTTTATCTTTAGAATTTGAATGTTATTAAACTTAAACTTGTCAACTCCAGTTCTTGTGAGGAGGAGGACCATGCTAGTTACGTGAGAATTACAACCCTATTATATAGACAAGACAACCTGTTTAGCCCGCACAATATTCTGAAACTTAGTATTTGAGCATCCAATATATTCGTTGGAGAACATGCATGTATTTGACTTTATATTTTTGTATAACTTAAGAGATTTTGTAAACTTTAAAGGTTTGTATGATCTTTTAAACTAAGACTTTGATGTGAAATTTACTTCAAGAAATACATGTCAATTATTGAAATTGTGCATAATTGACTATTTTTTTTAGTATTCTAAAGCATTTGTAGGTCCAAAATATCCAGCTTATTATTCATATAAGTCTTAGGAATACTTATATGAAGTAGTGCATTTAACTTTGAGATCATTCCAAACTTAAAATATATGCAATTTTATGACTTTTGAATGACACAAAATTTCATTTTGGGCTTTAAAAAGGGCTGCCTCCTGTTCGCTAGCAAACACGTTCTGAATTCGGTGACGAGAGTTTAAAAATTTCAAAATTTTTAAGTTTGAATTGTTTTAAAATCTAAAGAGTCTAAATTCAAAAGCCTAAATTTTAAAATATTTTAAAGCCAAAAGAGCCTAAATCTCAAAAGGTTGAGACTTTAATATTTTTAAAATCCTAAGAGCCTATTTATATGCTCAAATTTTCAAATTATTTTAAAATTGAAATGAGATGTATTTTATTTTATTTTACAAGTTAAAAATTTCAAATGTTTTAAAGTGATTACAAGCATTGTTTAAAAAATCAGATCGAACCAGCCAGTTCAATCTGTTCGATCGTGAACTTGTCAGTGGTTCGGTTTTGGGCGGACTAAGAATTGCCCCTTCATTGAACAGACTGGAACCGACCTATACCACTGGTTTAACCTTGAAACTGCCATACTGGTAGTGGTTCGATTGAAACGCTCAGTCCCCTTATTTATTATATTATTTTATATATTTTTCATCATCATTCCTTGCGTCGGTCAATTATCCCATTCAAAAAGGCAAAAAATAACATCACTTCAGTATTGATTCTTCGAGATTCCCAACTCCATTAATTTATTAACGGGCTAGCCGCTTTCAACTTTATATATATATTCTGCTAGGGTTTTGAATGGCGATTTCCGTCGCCCATGATTCAGTCGCTCGAAGGAGAGGGCTCGCACCTTTTCTCTGTTTCGTCGTCTCTCCACTTCCGCTTCTCACTTCCCCCGCTTCGTTGGCTCACATCATTACCGCTTTTCGTCTGTTTCGACGCCGACAGTGGCTCCCCCCCCCCGCCGTTTCTTCCTCTCTACTGTTTCGACGTCGACAGCTGCATATCTCTGCACGTTCACCTCTCCCTGCTTCCGAGATTTCGGGACTTTGCAGCAAGAGATGCCGATAGCTTCGCATTCTTTCGCACCTCGTCGCGATTATATTGGGATCTTCTAGCAGGTAGTTTTCCGTGCTATGATGATACTTCCTTCTTCGGTTGGAACTGGAAAAACCTTCTTTGCCCACGAGTGGGTAATCCTCAGATAGGTCGGCGGTTATCTTTCCCTCAAGCTATAAGGACTATCGTGATGGTACAGACGATTGCCCTTTTGTTAAGAAGGCAAGTATGAAATGTGAGAAAACAACTCTTTTTCTCTGACTTAAAAATTTCAACCATGATTGAGAAATTCTAGTTCGCTCTTATTGAAAAATTTCAGTGATGACACCCACATATAGAAGTTATCAGAAAGAGTTTTGATGACTCAAATTAGTAGGCAAGTGAAAAATGAGACTCATTGATGGGAGCATGTGTTGATTCAATTAACTGTGACTGAAGACTATACCCCGAATTTTCTCCAAAAAATATCTTAATATTGCAGGAACGTCAATGAAGTTACTCAAGTTGTCTCCTGATTTCGACCCAAATCATGAATCTCCCACTGTATCGGTATGATTCAGTCTACTTTGTCTCAAGCTGCATTTTTTTAATCATCAGGTTCTCTAGTCTATTAGGGCCTTACTTGGTGACCCTATGAAGCTAAATTTACCCACTTTCAATCTAACCAGACCTTCTGTGGCGATATTACTTGTGGAAAGAGATATTATTTTACCTGATATTATTGAAGTATGACTGGACACAACTTATAATGGATATTGACAATAAATCGTCATGGAACATAGACCTCCTTATTGTAGCCATTGTAAGATGTTTGGGCATAACCTTGATAAATGCCACAAACTCCATCCTACACAAACTCCATCCTAATTTGATAATTTGAAATCTAAAGTTCAAGTGAATAAGGATGGGTCTAACCCTACTGCTTTGGACTTATCTGCTCCACCTGTGGAAGAAACTACCATAAGACATAATTTGGTGTCTAATTTAATTGTCCCTTTGGACCCCCCTAACAATAATGTTTCCATTTCTGCGATTGATGTGATGCTGGATGACTCTGCTGGGCAACCTACACCTTCAAACCCTATTGAGAACAATATTGAAGGATCCATGCCTACGAAGGATAGTGTTTGAATTGATAACCAAAAGAACTTTGCAACTCCCTATTTTCAAGAAGTATCCTGTGTAGAGGCTACAACTCTTACTTCACATACACTAGAACCTATTGTGGGTACAACGGTTGACAATCCTTCTATCACAACTCTACCACCTCATCCGAATGAGCAAGGTCAATCTTTGGATAAGGAATGACATGTTTACAATTTCAGGAGGAAGAAGAAGAATAAAGATCTATTTGAGCTCAAGAATCTAATGGATGATATTTTGGTTACTTCGGGTAATGGTACGCATCTCACCAATTTTTTAGGTGGCTCCCTTCCGAGAACTGGAGACAGAGGCAGGATTAAATTGGGTTGTCCCTAGCTTTTTCGACGCCTTGATGGTTTGGGTTTTTTTGATCTTATATG